TCAAATGTTAGGCCCACTAGTTCAAAATTTCAAGTTTGCTCACTTTGCACCTTATGCATTTTCTCAAACTTTCTCAACTTGCATTGGTTATAACTCTCTCAATTTTCAACTATTTAAAGTGATCTTTGACTTTTTTGAAATCTCAAGATGTTCTCTACAATTTCTCTTTTGATCATTTTTGCATCTGAAGACTTTATCTTGATGTAAGTTGTCTTGACAAAAAGTGTCCTTTTGTTGACTTTTGAAATGACATGTAATGTATTAGCTCATATATTTCAAATGAAGCACTTTTTGGACTTGAGCGTACACATACAAAGTTGTAGAGAATTGAATTTCCTTCTAAATGGGCTTTGGTTGGGAACAAGTTGATGAAGCATGTGAAAGTTATGCTTGGTCAAAGTTCAGTTGACTTCTCCTAAGGAAACCCTCATTTGACAACTTTGGACTTTTGATGATTTGAGGACTTCTCTTGAGGAATCAAGATCAACCCTTGATAAAATGATGAATATCATTTCAAAATGTTGACTTTGACCAAAAAAATCTTGAAGTTTGACTGTATGTTGACCACAATTGACTTTTTACCCAATACAGTTGACTTTCAATCATCTCAGCATTGATTGAGAAAACTTATGATGCAAGACTTGAAGCTTGACATAAGAATTATTGAAGACCTATTATGTAGGGGTGTTCGCGGTGCGGTTTGAGCGGTTTTGAAGCAAAGAATCACCCGAACTGCAAGAGAAAAAAACACGCGGTTCGGTTTGGTTTGGTTGACTTTTAAGAATAAATTTGAATCAAACCAAACCAAACTAATGCGGTTTGGATTGGTTCGGTTGGTTCGTTTTTTTACAAAAAAAATTATTAAGTCATACATACAAATATAGAGGAAAATATAATTTTGTGTTTAATTGTTCATACATTACCATAAAAAAATTTATAATTGTCAAAATAAGTTTATAATTTGATACATAAAATTGCGTATTATAATCTTATCTAAATCTAAAGAATGACATAAACAAGATTGCATTATTAAATAAATATTATACAAAGAATACGATAAAATATATTTTGTGAAAATAATATTTATAAATGAATAATTTTTTTTTAATGATTTGTAAATTAAAATGAATATAATACAAAATATGATAAAATATACACATAATACATGTTGATTTCTCTAAAGAATTAAAGAAATATATATTGGTTAGTAAGATTTTATAACATAATGTGGTTTTGTTTGGTTTGGTTCGGCTTGTAAAATACAAACCACAAAGTGAACCGAACCGTGCGGTTTCGCGAGAAAATGATCCAAACACATCCAAACCAAATACGGTTTTTTACGGATCGGTTCGGTTTTGCGATTTTCTATTGGGCTGGTTTGGTATTGAACACTCCTACTACTATGAACCATGAAAACCATATGAGACCTTTGAAACCCAATCTTCCTTGAGAAACTCAAGACCCTAGTTGTAGACCCATTGCTTAGGAGGAGACTTGTCTGGTCAACTCTTGAGTAGCCTTGAGTACTTGAGAGCCTTTGAAAATGTCTTGAAGAAAATGGGAGGGAAAATTTTGGGATACAACAACACCTCTTCTATCTGAGCCATTATCGAGCCTTCCGATTACAACAACAAACCCCAATTTGAATACCTTTGTACGTATCCATAGAAGCACGTGATCATGAAATTCAAACTTTTGTTCATTTTTAAATTGATTGCCAACATTTATCTCTCTTAGAACAACACATTTGGCATTCTGACACACAATATATTTTCGAAAAACATCGGGGTGCACCATATCTAATGAAAAAATAATATACAATACTAAAAAATAGTTAATATTAAAAACAGACAGATGGAAAATAAATACATACTAGATCCATAAATGCCTTTTCGAATACAATCATACTGAATCTAGAATATATATTCGGAATAAATGTAAGTTTTTCAACCCCAAAACAAGATTAATGTGGGAAATGATGCTTGAAATAAATAAACTTTACCTTGAGTTTAAGATTCTTATGCTCCTTTTGGCGTGATGAAACACAAGAACGAAGTTCTGGAGTAAAAATCTTGATCGAGAATGGAAGGGTTTTGGGAAAGGGTTTTTAGAAACAAATGAGCATGGGTTCAAGTCATGTAGGTGACTGTTTTTAGCAATTTCATCTTTGTCTTTTTCGGAGATGTATCTCCATTCTCCATAAACATTTGACAAGCAAAGGTGATAAATTTTCAAATTCCCGCTTCAAATATTCAGAAAAATATGTCTAGAAACTTTACTGAGATGCTCTCTGGAACTAGATTTTGTTTCACAATAGGGTGACGTTATTATTTGTGCGTTATTGAGTTATACAAATGATGCGTCCAAAATTACATTTCCGGAAACTGAGAGACATTTTTAAATTTCTATAGGATTCTTTTCCACATCATATGGTGGGATAAGAAATTCCCAAATTTAAATCCTTGTAAGTGTCAATATCCAAAATCTCTAGTATGAATTTTTTTTGGCAAAAACAAAATTCATAAGTAACTAAACACCCTATTTCGTTGTGTAAATTTGTGTTTCAATGTCATTTTAGTCGTGATATTGCAAAGATATATTTTGATCATGATTTTGGTGTAAAAATGTCAAAATTTTGGAAAAGTATAAAAAAGTTAAGAAATAGATCAAGAAGACGTTGCATGACGCAAGAGCTCAAGTTTTTGACGATTTATAGCAATCTTTAATAATTAAAGAGGGGGAGATTTTATATATAAACTTGTTAAAGGAAGAGAATGAAAGACATAAAATTTGAATCAAGTAAAGTGTGTTAAAGATGAAGAAGTCAAAGTCTTGATTCAAAAAAAGAATATAAAAGATAGGTGGAAGACGTATTTCTACAATTTATTCAATAAAGAATATGATATATCACTGAACTCTAACATGCTCGACATTAGAGAAGAGTGTCAAAACTATAATTACCACCATCGAATTTAAAAACAAGAAGTAAAAAAGCATTGAAAAGATGAGTAACAGTAAGGCGATCGAGTCAAACAACAGATTTGTTTAAGTGTGGGAAATTCTTGGTGGTAGAGACATTGAGTGACTCGTCAATTTTTTTAAACAAAATTATGATGTCAAAGAAAATGTCAATTGAATGGATAAGAAACACTTTAGTTTCAATCTATAAAAACATGTGGAATATACAAAGTTGTACAAATTATAAGGTGATTGAACTTATGAGTCATACCATGAAGTTATGGAAAAGAGTGGTTGAGCATAGACTAAAACTAGAGACTTGAGTTACTAAAAATCAATTTGGTTTTATGCTCGAGAGAACGACAATGAAAGCGATCTATCTACTACGACGTGCGATAGATCGGATGGACCAACAAGATTTGTACTTAATTTTCATTGACTTGAAGAAGGCGTATGATAGAGTTCCTAGAAATTTTTTGTGGAAACCCTTGTAGAAGAAAGGTGTTAGGATTGTCAATATTCGATTATCCAAAATATGTATGAAAGGGTATTGACTTGTGTGCAAATTCAGGATGGAGAGACAGCCAATTTTTCTATTACAATAAAATTGCACTAAGGTTCAACCACTCTTAAAAATGCATAGCTTTTTCCTAAGCACAAATAATATGAAATATATGAATGTAAATTTAGCAAAAAGAGAGGTGTTTTTAACTTAAAGATGAAAGTTAAAACCCATATCATCCTACAAATCACACAGTTTAAATAACTTTGATTCGTAGTATAAAACAATGGAAAAGTAGAATGGAATATAAAGCGTCAAATTTAACTCAATTGGCTTAAATGCAAGAGGATCTCAGAAGTTTGATGTAACACATATCCTTCGAGTTGAAAAGAATTTTAGTGCACAACAATAATACTTTGATGTTGTACAAGACAAAATGTTCAGCGATTAGAATGTTATGTTGATAAATCTATTTACATGATAAAATTAAATATGATAATATAAAGAATATTAGGGTAGCACCTAAATGGTTTTAGCGCGTAGAAATAAAATATAGGCTTTGTTGTAAGAGTAAACCAGATGAAATGTCATACAACTAAAGGTTGAGAAAAAAGTAGAAAAATTAAAAGACAAGATCTCAAAATTAACTAATTGAATAGAAAGAAAATTACGTCATAATTTAATTTATATATTGAGCTCATTTAGTAGAATAAACTTAATTGTTGTTGTATATTTTGATCCTAGTGCAATAAGCAAATACACACACAGTCGATTTAAGGAGTTAACGAGTGCAACATTATCAATTATTGTCGTGTACAATCCTCCCATTTCTTATTTCGGTGAGGGATAGATTACTTTAACCTTTGTAAAGCAGATTGTTTCTGAAGCTAAGATTGCAAACTTCACATATTTGGCAACTGCTTTTATTCTTAAAGCCAATTTGAATATAGGTAGGTTTCTTGAAACTTTTTTCTTTTTGCAAAATCAATATTTTGAAATATATTTCTGTCTGTATTAAGAATACTTAAAAAGGCCGCCGGGGCAGCTTCCTTCTCATCGCACCATGAAAACCTTATTTTTAACCTCAATTGGTTAAAGCATAGCATGGTTGTAAGAGTCATAATTCATTTGTTTGTAATTGTATATATGTTGGTCTTAACGTAAGATAGGGAATGACAAATCCTCAAAGATGCTAAAGACTAGGATTTATACCACATTTGCTCAATAATCGTGCTAGATTAGAGGCACTTGAAAATATACAATATCATACCAGGGCAGGAACAAAATTACGTATCAAACAAATTGCTAAACATAATTTAAAACTTTCGAGATAGTATACCAACAAAATTAACTCAAAAATCTTCTCAACATAGAGAACAAACACATTGACACAAGACAACCAATTCCATTGAGCAATCCAAACACAGACTACTTAATAAATAAAGACATCATAAAATTGCAACAACACCAAAATTTCTTAATCAATAAATAGGAAACAACCTCTCAAAAAGACTAAAGAGCTTTATCATCATCACCATAACTAATCTCCCTTCTTCCTGAAGGAGCATCCCTCTGTGAGTCTTGCTTTGCCACCTGTTGGCTGGCACAAAACCGTTTGGCAGTTACCGCAAACCACAACTGTTTGAGAGTGACTAAACACAGTAGTTCTGCATCCACAAATTTCAACCATTATAATTAACCAATCAAAACAGTTGTTCTATGATAACACGTTTAGTGATAATACAATTGAGTGAATAAACACAGTAATTCTGCATGCAAAAAATTTCAACAACTATAAATTAACAATTCAACACAATGTTTTAATATAATAAGATGTTTAATTGTAATACAACTTTAAGTATCCCGAACTGAACTATAGCTATAGAAGTGAAATGAATAAAGCAACTTTTATTAATCAAGCATCAATTTAACCTCTATACAATAAAGTCTAATGTATACATAAAATCAATATGTTTAGTCTATAATGAAATAAAAAATTATATAGTTAATGAACTAAATTGACAATTAATATACTATAGAGGCTACCTATTATATTTATATGAAGTGTTTGTTTGGTTTAGCTTTTGAAAAGTCAAAAAGCAATTCTAAAGGTGTAGAATTAATTTGAAGTGTTTGGTTCTTCTAAAGTTATCCAAACATAAATCACTTTACATTCAATTCAGATTTAACCATAATCAATTTTACAAAATCAATTAACTCAGAATCAATTATTTTAACCACAAAATCAAGCATAACCTAAATCGAAGATTGATTCAACAAAACAATGGTTTTATAATTCTAATCAAAATTCCTTCTACTTTACATACAGAATTTCAAAACAAATTAAGGTTTGCAATATCTCTAACACAGAAAAATATTTCTCAAACAGCATGGAAATCAAATAGGTACTTACATGTTGAAGCATCCTTGGCATTTGACATCCTAAAACAAATCCAAAAAAAAAAAATTCACAAACCGAATACAAAAGCCTGAAAACCATAAAGAAAATTTTTTTTGATGAAAAACATGATTACCATGAAGAACGAATTAGGAGATTGAACGAGACGCTTGAGTTTGTGCTTCCTCTTCTCGAGTTCCGCAGGTGGATTCAACAGATCAATGTCGTTTTGGAGAACCTGAAAAGATGAAATCGAATATAGAGAATAAGAATTGAAGAAGAGATTTGAAGGTTTGTTTACGTAGAGAATCGAAGGAGAGAGTGGATTACCATGGTGAGAGGTTGAAGAGTGAGACAGATCGCAAACCCTAGAAGATGAGATTGAACGGGGCTGCGACTGTGAACAAAAGCTAAAAGACTGAATTTGATAGATGAAAGATGAATATAAAGCGTGAGATTGGTGTGGATTGGATGCGGTAAGGCCCGGCCCATTAGGCCCACTCACTCGAATTAGGTTTATGAGCATTATTAAGTATGATAGAACTATTTTTTTAATATTTTAATATAGAGAATTGCTAATTTATTTAATATTTTAATATGGAGAATGGCTAATTCCACTTCAAGTGATGGAACTTATGAAAATTTGAAAAATATTTTTCAGATTTTGGAGATGCATCTCCGAATATATTTTGAGGCTCACTGAAACATGTCTCAAGTGAGTCTTGCCCCATAAATTTTTTAAAATTTATTTCGGAAATGAATTTTTGGACTAACCCTATCAATTTATTTTTAATTTAACAATCTAGTGACTTTTCAGTAAGTACGTTTTTTAATTTGTGAAGTGAGAATTTAAAAACATGCCACTTTTGCATGTTAGTCATTTTCGAAGATGCATTTCTAAAAATATCAAACATGATTTTTAATAAAACAAGACTGCATAATTAAACTATGTAACCATTGTTACAAAATATCATTTCATTCTCAATCAAGATTTGCACTTAAAAACTTCAATCTTTTGTTTCATCACATCAAAAGGAGCAAAGTAAGCTGGAATTTAGGGTAACGATCGTTTATTTCAATCCTCATTGCTTACATTAATCTTATTTTGTGACTGAAAAAAGTTATGTTCTGTCTGAAAGTGAATTTTTGGATTCTATATAAATTTCTTTGAAAGTGCGGTTCTGGAGTTTGTCTATTTTCATTTTCAAAATGTCTTTGAATATTTTATGTTATTGTTTGCATTATATATGGTGCACCTTGATGTTTTTTCCAAACCTATTGTATTTATGGATGCCAAGCGTGTTAAAGTGAATGAGGTAGGTGTTGGTAACTAATTTACAAATGGGCAAAAGTTTGAATTTCGAGATCATATGTTTCAATGGATTTGCACTGAGGCGTTGAAATTGGGGTTTGGTGTTGTAATCAGAAGGTCTGATAATGGTATAGATAGAATAGTTGCATTTTTGACAATGAAATATGAAATAAGTGGGAAATATATAACTTCTCTCTAAAATTTTAAATGAGATGACATTGGTTCAACAAAATATGAGTGTCCCTTTAAGTTGTGTGGTTATCTTTTGTCAAATAAGAAACAGATATTTGATGTTATGTGTAGTTTACATAACCATGACATGTGTGAAAAGTTAGCCAGCCATCCAATTGCATGTCGCCTTATGTTGGAAGATAACAAGGCGTTGATGAAATAAAATTGAAATGCAACAACTGTTGAAACTTCAGGATGATAACAATTATGTATCTAGATACCAAACGTGCGGGGAGGAAATAATTGTTTGAGATATAGTTTTGACTCATCCTGATTCTATCAATTTGTTTAATATGTTTCCTACTATGATCATTATTGATTCAACATATAATACCAATAAGTATAGGCTTCCATTATTATAAATTATTGGTGTTGTCTTTATTGGGAAGACTTATTTTGTCGGGTTTGCATTTCTGGAGAGCGAAAAAAAGGAAAATGTTATTTGGGCTTTAGAGATGTGTCGGGCAATATTGAAGGATAGAGATGATACACCAAAAGTAATTATCATCGACCACGATACCGCTTTGGTGAATTCAGTTGCAAATATTTTTTTCTACTTCTTACGCATCACAAAGAATGTGAGAAGTCGAGTTAAACCCGTGGCAGAGACGAAACAAATCAAGGGCAAAGACAGAATAATCGTCAAAGGTAACGTGATAGTGGAAAAAATAATGGATGAATGGAATGTTATAATAAATTCTTCTACAAAAGAGTTATATGTTGATGATGTTGTACATTTCAAGAAGGTTTGTGGGAAATATCCATATTTATTGAAATATGTTGAAAGTACAATTATGGATCAAGTGAAGGAGAAGATTATTTATGCTTGGACCGGTCAGGTTACACACCTTAGAAATATAACAACTAATCTATTTGAGTATGCCCATTGCACTAAAGAGTTTGAGGATTTGTGGTATCTTTATTACCAAGGCGTACAAGATCCTCACCTCATGGCCCAACTCCTAACATACACTTTCTCATTTTTGCAGGGCTTGGACAAGAAAGGCAAAGGTAAGTCTTGTTGATTGTTTTTAGGATGCGAAAAAAAAACTAAGGATAAAATTTATTTAAATTCCTCTTGGGCTCTAACTTATTTCTATCGACCTGCTGCATACGTTCCCCAAAATCCAAAATTGTCTACGGCCGTTTCGCAAGAAACGAGCAACACGGGAGGGAGGTCTGAGCCTTCTCAAGAAAATTTACAAGTAAAATTTCTAACCTTATTTTCCTTCGGGTTATTATTTTTCTGTCAACTTCCTAACCTTTTGTTTTGATCCTTTAGGGTCGAAAGAAGGGAAGTACTTCTTCTGCTACATGACCCTCTAAAAAGAAGAGCAAAAAGAGCAAGGACGCTTAAGCTCCAGCTAATGAAGAAATTATAGTCCTTAATATCTTTGTTTCTCATTCTCTATGAATTCAACTTTCATCTTATTGACGTTTGTCGAATATGTTAGTCTCCATAGAAAGAGACAGAGTTGGAAATGAATGCCAAAAGCATGTAGTCCCTCCACCTATCCCTCCAAAATATCGAACAAACACGACTATCATATTTTTTAATGCAGATTTTGCATATCAAGGGGAAGGGGAAGCCCTTGATGAATCTATGGAATTCAATAAAAGAAAATGAAGAAGAAGAAGAAGAAGAAGAAGAAAAAGGGGTTAGACAAGAAGATGTTATGGTTTTTGATGAAGAAGGGATTGCGGAAGATGAAGTTTTTGATTTTAGGAATAAGAAAAGAGGTAGAACAACTCCTAACAAACCTAATCAGAGCCTAGGAAGTGCATATTCAAGTCCCCATTGAGATGTTAATAAGGTAACTTGCTACTTTCTTTTTTCTTTTCCTTGACTCCATCTATCTTTAATCTCTAATATGGACTCAAATCTTTTCTACTTGGGAAACTTGTCAACATTGACCTTACCACCTCCCAGGTGCAACACCCATCTAAATGCCATGAATTAATTTAAATAATTTAATTCAAAATTACCATACAAGGGTGTCACACGTCATAAAAATATCGTAAATTCAACCCCAAGGGTCCTCCGCTACCCAGGTCTGCGGGTCCTCGTCATCCTCGGGCAGAATTAGGCCACCATGATCAGTGGGCGCCATCTTCACGTCCTCTCCCCCTACGTGCTGATCAGACCGGTTCGATTCATCCCCGGATATCTCTAGGATGCCCGACGTACTCCAAGTATCATTTGTGGAGCTTTGGGAAGATCCGGTTCGTCCATCTAAAAGATCGTCTCCAACATTGTCGGTCATAGTACCTGAAAAGCAGAGGATAGAGGTGAATTCGACATCAATGTTAAAACCACCCTTTTACCACTAGTCAAGTGAAAGGGCGCTGATAAACGAGGACCATCTCCCCGACCAGAACCCTCGCTAAGGCATCTGAACAAACAAACGCTTTTCTCAACAGGATAAACTCCAGTCAACGAAAACAACCTAAATCCTCATAGATCATCTACGGTGCATCGCGAAAATTTAGGGAAAATCCACGGCGGCTCTAGCGTTTCTAAATTGCAGAACCACCATCTGCTACCAACACTCCCCTAAAAATGACCTAACATACAGGATCCTAATCCTAATCGCATGCATTTCTAAGACGAAAATGTGAAAATCTAAGCTACGACATCCAAATAACAACGAAAATATGAAATCTTACCAATTAAAGAAGAAAGAAGGTTGAAAGGAGCAGCGAAGGACAATTAATCTTCAAGGAACAACGATGGTCAACACGCGAGCAGTAACGAGCAATGCGAGAGAAGAACGAAAAGTATAAAATGCCTTGCTCCTCTCATATTTATAGCTGAAATCGCCTGCGCGTGAGAGACACATGCCTAGGGAATCATAGGATCGTCATCATTGCACCCTAGCCCCTAGATTAACATTGCGCCGCTTCGTCAGGGCACTATCCAAAACACACTACCTCTTCAATTCTCAAAGCTCAAAACTTCCAACTCAGCATCTCTCAGCGAGAAAGGCGCAACGGGCGATGCTCATGTTCCATGTAAGAAGCGCCCTAACCCACGAGTAAGTGTCAAAGTCATCACTCTTGTGCCCATAAGCAATGAATTGGGGGGATATTATTCTGGACTGGCCCGACAACTAGAATGGGCCCAGCCTGACCTCTTCCTTCGGCTCGGCCCGTACAACCGCGGCTCGGGATTCCGCGCCCTCCGTCAAGCACCATCGTCCATTTGTCCTCCTTGACCAGCACTGACCTACGACATCTGACGAGCACCTCCCAGTCTTCCCAACCCCAAGTCGGTCAGACAACTAGGAATCGACCAGACAACTGCCTATAACTTACCTCCTCCTCGGAACTAACGGCTACTTGTGGACACACTTGCCCAGTTTGACCAAGTCCTGGCAGTTACCTATTTTTGCAAACCCGTATATCTAGACCCTAAAATAGGAACCAATGGCCAAGCGCTGGGGGAATTATATATACCCTCACACGTGTGAGGGTCAGGTATCAGATATCCATTATTCATCACTAAAACCCTAACACTTTGTTTGTATCTCTTTTGCTCCCACATTTACTTGATCGTCGGAGTGCCTTGCAGATACAACTCCCATTTTTCCTCCTCGACTTTTTAGCCTGACAGAAGATCAACATCTGACCACCTTGCAGGTTATGCTCAATCGGTAAGATCAGTTACTAATCTCAGATAGCTGCATGGAGTGATTAATCTAGAATACACTATTATGGATAGCAGACACATAGGGGTTGGTGTTGTTCTATCTTTTATGGAAAATAACTTATATTTCATGACCTATATAAA